CGATTCTCCCAACTTGAAATTGTCCTTCTTAAGCTGGTCTGTCAATAGCCCTGCTATCGATCTATATCCCTTCACAAATTTTCAATAGTAGCTGGTGAGTCCTAAGAATCCTTTTAGCTCCTTTAGATTCTTGGGTATGGGCCACCTAAGCAAGACCAAAATCTTACTCTGGTCAGTTACGACACCCTCCTGAGATATCCCATGCTCTAAGTATTCCACTCAGGGCTGGGCGAAAGAACACTTCTTATTAGCAAATAAGGAGTGCTCCCTTAAGGTCGATAGCATAACTCCCATATGCTCCCCTTCCAGACCTGCTGTAAACCAATATATCATTAAAAAATGCCAAAAAAAACCTTCATAAGTAGGGTTGGAATATCCTGTTAATAAGAGAATGGAAGGTGACCGGTGCATTACTGAGGCCAATCATAATCACCAAAAACTCATAATGTTCCCTGTGCATCCCAAAAGCTATCTTGTGGATGTCTTCTGGTCGTATTCTAATCTAGTGATATCCGAATTTTAAGTCGATCTTGAAAAATATCACATATCCATGCAGCTCATCTAACAACTCATCAATGATAGGTATGGAAAGCTTTTCTAGTATTAATTTCTTATTTAAAACATGATAATCTAAGCAGAATCTCCAGCTCTAATTCTTCTTCTTCACCAACAATTTAGGACTTGAGAAGGGCTTACATTGGGTTTGATGATTTCAGCTTCAAGCATCTCCCGAATTAGTTTCTCAATCTCATCCTTTTGGATCTGGGGGTATTGATAGGGCCTAACACTAATAGGAGAAATTTCCTCCTTTAGAACAATAGAGTGCTCGTGCTCTCATAGGGGTGACAATCCCCAATGAAGCTAGAATATCTCCATAAACTGCTGAAACAAGGCCTGGATAATGTCTGGAATGTCCTCTTTACCCTCTATCTCTCCTCCCTCCAGACTTTAGAGCTCTACCAAGAATCCCCCTCCTGCCCCTTGAAGGGCACGAACCATGTTTTTCAACAAAACCATTGCCTTGGATAAGTTGGGGTCTCCCTTAACCCCTCCACCTGAATCTCCATGGTCAAAGCCTTCCAGTTCACCTTGGTCTCTCCCAAGGTCTGTAGCCATTTCATGCCCAAAATCAAGTCAGTACTTCCCAACTCTAATGGAGGAAATCCTCCTTGATTTGTATCCCTTACAGCTATACTGCCTAACCCTGACATATCCCTCTGCTCTTCTCTACTTTTCCTGTACCCATCATCACTCCAAACCTTCAAGTGTTTATCAGTTTTAGCCCCAATTTATCTTACCTGGTTCGATATGAAGTTATGGGTAGCCCCACTGTCCACTAGGATTGTCACTGCCTCTCCTTCAACATGCCCTCCTCACTTTCATAGTGTGATTTGTGGTGAATCCCACGAAGTTCAATGAAATTTCTGCCACCTCCAAAGGCAAGGGCTCCTCTTCCTCTTCCTCCTCCTTCACTTCCTCTTCCTTGTCCACCTCCTTCCCATCACACATCATGAGAACCTACAATGTGCAATTTTTGCACAAACCCTAGTATAACAAATATTCCAACTGCAAGTGACCAGGAGCACCACAACTGTTTAAGGAATCTTGCTATGGATTGTAATTTATATTTCCTTTTTGCGTTTGGAATGGGACAATTCTATCATTCTTGTTGTGCTATGATGCTTTTCTTTCCTTTTTTTTAAATTTTTGGAAGACATGATTTTTTTTTTCTAGAAGACGCTTAGTAATATACATAAGTTGATTGGTCAAAACTAATTAGATCATTTAATGTACATGAAAGATCCATTTTATTGAACCATCCAGTTAATTGTGTTGCAATCCATGACCCCTAGTTTGAGCTTTTGATGATAACAAATAATATCGTTTAAATATATATTCATTGAATATCCTTTGATTTCTGCTCTTGTCATTGAATATCCTTTGATTTCTGCTATTGTCTGTGATTACTAACATTTCAGGAAGATCACAAATTACTCAGGACAACTGGAAGACTCAAGACTGGGTAGAGTAGGAGTGTGAGTCTGAAACAGTGTAGTTTTCTATTTATTTTAATTTTTCTTTTCTTGAGTCTGGCCACAAATTGCATGTAAGTCTGAGCAACCATGCACACACACAGGGGGAGAGGATTTTTTAAAAGAAACAAAATGAAGATTTTTCTATGTTTGATCGTACTGTACGAATTTATATCGTACTATACGATCTGATATTGTAAAACGATTTTCTGTGAACAGATCGTACTGTACGAATCATATCGTACTGTACGATGTGTTACTAATCCAAAACCCTAGCCGCCAGATTAATTTAAGTAAGGTTATTAGCCGTTCATACGGTACGAAGAACTTCATACTTTATGATATTATTTGAATACTTAAATTAGCCCGTAATTAGTGGAATAAATCACGGACTAATCTATGATTGATCATCGTACTGTACGAATATGTTCGTACTATACGATGAACAGAGGCTGATTTTGATCGTCCCGGAGATCGTCCTGAATGATCCCTTGATTTGGCCTCATCGTTCTGTACGAAGTTGATCGTACCCTACGATCAATAGAGACGAGTTTTGATCATCCCGGATATCTTCCTGTACGAACATAAGAGTAGAGGTTTGTACTGTACGATGTTGTATCGTACGGTACGATTTATTTTGAACTATTTGTAAACCTTCATATCAGGATGAAGAATTTTATACATATCGTACTGTACGATGTCATATCGTACTGGATGATAGTAACGACTACTTTGAAAATTTCAGGGATTTTGGAGCCTGTTTTAAGTATTAAAATAGTAATGTTTTCAGTGTGTGACAGAAAGAGGGGAACATGATTAGAGAGGGAATCCTTGAGAGAGAGCTCTTGAGAAGTTTTTAGGGGTTGAGAGAGGAAGGAGAGGGTGAGCTTGATGAGGGAGAAGTAGTGTGAGGGAGATCACACGGTTGCTCCGTTTTTGCTGCATCTTGCTCCTCCTGTGGCCCGAGAAGAACTTGTGGAAGGCTCTCTGAGGGGGAGACTTTTCTACATCTGTGACCTCGAAGGTACTCTGTCTTCTCTAGGAGAGAGAAAAACGAGAAGGTACGCTGCCGTCGCCAGGAGGGTGAGAAAAGCGCTTGACACTCCGCCACGCCGGGTTGGTGAAAGTGAGTCATGTGAGGGCTTCTCCGCCTTGCCGAGGGGGCAAAAGGAGAACTATAGTTTGTAGTGAAATTCTCGGAGCGGAGGACTCCGGGGAGTGGACGTAGGTCATGGTTTGACTCATAGAAGTTTTTGTTACTATTTTTTGTAAATGATGAATTTATTGGTAGAGATATGACCTATGTAGCACGGATACTCCTATTTATGAGGCATGCTGTATCAGACACTTGTTAAATGCGGATACGCCTCCGATATGTCACGGATATGTGTCGGATACGGTTTTTCCGTGTCCAATTAAAATATTATTTTAATTTGATCAGACACATGTATCGGATACGCATGTCCTTTTCTTCTTTTTCTTCATCGTAGGCTCGGTACCGCTTGGTTCTCAGTACTGCTCGGTACCTCTCCGCAGCACTCGGCACCGAGAAGCTAGAGAAATCTTTAAAACAACTCTTACAATAAAAATTTGTTTCGCCCCCTGTTAGGCGCTGTAGGGGGCAGCGCCCCCTTGGACCCCCGGCAGACTGGTATATTTTTGTATTCATGTTATTTTATTGTTGGTAGTACAAATAATTGTTATTTTTTGTCATTATTTAAAATTTTAAATTAATTTATTTTAATCGTTTTGAGGCTTACGCCTCGATCCGCCTCGAGACTTACGCCTCGCCTCGCTTAGAAAAAACGCATCGATTCCCGATTTCGCCTTTTAAAACCTTGCTTTGACCAAACCACTATAAAATTCTGGTGTGCTTTTTCCTTATCGCTTTTTATTTTTGCTTGCACTTTATTTTCATTATATTTGCTTGGTGATAATTGTGAAAGAAAAAGAATTTCATTATTGCATGTTAAGTTCAATTAATTGCTTTCGCATTGGTTAAAGTTTTCTTGTTAAAAATTTAAAAACACAAAAATATTAGAACTCTGGCTTAGGATTTTAATTATTGCAACAAATTTTCGCGATTCACCCCCACTCTTGGCGATCTAGTAATTTCAAGTTGCTCTTTAACCTTACAGAAAATGTTTTGCTTGAACTCCAACTGGTGGGATCATAGTACTATGTTCCCATTTCTAATGTGTAATAGTATTTGCTTGAAACACTGGTTAATCCAAGTTATCACTGTAATAGAATCTCTTTCTAGCCAAACTTTATTGAGTCAATAATGAAATATTCTACTTCTACTTCAAGCTCTCTCATGTTGCATGAAGCGCAACTAAGGAACCGAACCCTTGCCGACTAGTAAAGCAATAACATGGAATTTAAACATGTAACACGAATTAAGCCTTCCTTGGGAGCCCCGCACACTGCACATCTAAACGTTTTTTCTTTTTTCCTTTTTCTTTAAAGATTGAAGCCTTCTGAAGACGTTGAACAATGAAAGTCATGGCGCCTTACTATGATGATTTTTACACCAACGTATTTTCCCCACCCTATCGCTTTTCTCTTCGTCTGTTATCTCTTTGTACAACTCTGAAAGCTTGAAAGGCTTCGTTTACATTTTCTTCAGTTATGCTTGTGACTTCTTTATAAGTCGAAATGCTGCAAAGCAGAATTTTCAGTTTGTAGGTCAATTGTACTATAAAAATATACCTATTTACTATAGTTCTTCCTGGGTTTATGATGCATGAACTCCAGTTGTTAAATTAAATAAAAAATCTTTCTATGAAACCCGCAAAACAATTAATGCAAATAACAATGGCACTTTGCAACTTTTGCAATCCTTCGTGTGTTGCTTTTGATTTTTATTTTTATTTTTTGTGTCGTCTTAGAAACCTTTTGGAATGATGTTACTCAGCTATTTTCTGATCTTTTTAAACTTCTAATGGTTTCATTGATCCCTTGAAGCCAATAATGATTCATGCGCTGAGCTTGGGAATGCAATTATATCTTCTTCTGGTTCTTCATTAAATTTCCGTTCTGTCCACGGAAGAAAGAATCACCTAGCCTCCGCTGCATTACCAGAAAATTCCCCATCAATAATTTTAGCAGCCATGGCTGTGGGTGCAGCAGCAACACTTCTCGCAAGAAGAACAACTTCTCCAATCAGCAATGATGTATTCCATCAAACCACTAATTAATTCTAAGTCCTCCGCTTCAAGTTCTTTTCTGACTTTCTGAATCAGGCAGATCACTACAAAACCTTGCGAGGAATGTGCCGGTTCTGGTGTATGTTCAGCTTGTAATGGAGAGGGATTTATACTGAAGAAATTATCAACAGAAAGTGCGGATAGGGCCAGAATGGCTTCAAAAAACATGGCTACTCGATACACTGCAGGGTTTGTATTTATATTCAGGGGCTGTTTGGTATTGGATTGGATTTAATTTAGTAAGATTTAGTAAATCCTGTAAATTCAGATTTAGTAAATCCCGAGACTGTTAAATCCTGAAAACTATTTCGTTTGATAAATGTTAAATCCTGAGAAACTGTTTGGCAACATATTGTAGGATTTAAAACAGTTAAATCCGCGGAGTCGGGATGATACCTGCACGAAGACAAGTACCCGCGCAACTCAACTGTAAATCCCATTAAATCCACTGAGGAATCGGATTAGGATTTATCCGGATTTACGTGGATTTGGGGCGTAAATCGGTAAATTCAGGATTTACGTCGTCGCCGGATTTACGGTCACGCTAAATACCGTTTGGCTGGATTTAGCGTAAATCCGACTCAAATCCCGCTGTAAATATGATACCAAACAGCCCCTAAATTTCCTCTCTTTTTCATAAGAATTGACGAGCTTCTCTCTGAGATTCATGTCCTAATTTACTCTTCACTGTCCTCAGACTTCCAAAAAAATGGAGCTATTGCAACAAATGTTCTTCATCTCGGTATTGTCGTGCTTGTGATGGTACAGGGAGTGTGAACTCCTGAGCTTGCTCAGATAATCTGCTGGCATCTAAACGTTGAATCCAGAAGACACCGTGGCTCTTTCATTCTCCATTTTACTTGTATTTGAGGGGATTGCAGGTATGTTTTCAATGATAGAATGACGATCATTTATATTTTGGACGTTCTGTAGGTTTTTCAACCGTTACTAGCTATCTCAATTAACTCAACAGAAGTTTCGAAACCAATTTATTGATTTCTTCTAAGATTGATAACAAGTAGGGGGATAAATTAGTCGAGTCGAGATCGATCTACCATTGTCTTGAGTTTGAGCTGTTGACTAATTTATTGATTTTGAGCTCAAATTCAAGCATAACTCTATGAGTTCAAGCTAGCTAATTTATTTTAGTAGGTTGAATATAATTCTAATTAAGGTAATAAAATATTAAAAAAAAAGAATTGTGGGGAGAAATAATAATAAATGAGTTGAGATAAAGAAAAAAGAGTCATTTTAAACATTTTTGATAACTTTTTTCTCAGGCACTTTAAATTTAATCTATTTTAAATATATTTAATAATAATATTTTTTGGATGAGGTAGCTCACAAACTTGCAAGTGAAGTATTTGGATCAAATTTGACTTACTAGTCATTGAGTTAGAGTTGATTTAACTACATTTCTTTAAATGGACAAGAATTACTAATGGGATTGGGAAGAGGAGAGGTAGACTTTATTTTATATGAATAAATGTAGTGCACAAAGATTTGCATATTTTTATTCTAATATCTTATGTGGCACTTAGCATGAACAAAATAGAATGATCATTGGTAAAATTGATACAAAATAGGTCTAATGATATTGACATGGGCAAATATAGAGGAGAAATAAAATTTGATTAATATTCAAAGGAAAGCCAAAATAGGTTTTTGGGTTGGAGTTAGCCCGCTCTTAATACGTCGTGACCCAAACTTGACATATTTGTTCAAACGGGTTAAAAATTTACACACTAACTCGGCCCAACCCACTAATTGGTTGAGTGTGTAGGGTGGTGAGCGCGAGTGTGACCATGAGTGTGAGCTCGACGAGCAAGATTTGACCAAGCGAGCGGGCGACATATGGGTCAAATGGGTTCCGTTTGGGTTCGCTGGTTAACCCAAATCTAACTCGTTTGTCAAAAGATGACTCAAACTTGGAATTTTTAAGTCGGGTTTAAGTCGGATTTTCAGGTCGTGTCATATATTGACATCCGAGTGAACTGAATTTTAATGTTTTATTGCTCCTAACAATTAAGAATTTGAAAGCTGGATAAATGAAATATTCAATATTTAAAGGTTCAAAACAAAATCAATTAGCGAATAATTATTATGCAGTAAATATAACAAAATCATATTATAATTTATTTATTTAAATGAGTTCTAATATTTATAAAAACAGTACTATTAATTGTTATAAAATTATTAAAATACACCTTTTAATGTCATCTTCTTATTTTAATTTCCAATAAAAAATGCAAAATGCTAAAACATTTGCTGGAACAAAATCTTAATATCATATATATATATATATAATGAGATTACGAAGAACTTCGTAGTTTTAATTTTTATAAAGATCAAGGTTCAGAAGTGGTTGTTTTCGGTTTAGTTAAAACCATTTGGTTAGAAACTGTACAGATTCAACAGTTCAATGGATCAACTAACAGTCCGTGCAGTTTTTTTTTTCCTCTGTTCGACCAGCTTATCACTTGCTTGAACACTAAATGGCCAGTTTATGGCCTAATCTGTTGAACCGATCTGTCCGATTCGATTGCTTGTAAACTCTTTAAAGCACCAAAGATGGCAGAAGACCAGTCGCAACAAAACCTGATCATAAACCCTTCGACAAGTGAGAAACATGCTTCACTAAAAACTAATGGCTTATTATTATTATTATTATTTTGTGACGAGGAAGCACTTTTCGTAGGCCAGTGAAATCCCGGTTGACCTAGCATGCAACCCACATCAATTTACACGAGCCAACACTTAAGACTTTCACTACTTGCCAAAGAATTCGAACCAGGGACTTAGGCTTTGTCCAGCCGATTTTTTTATTAATTAATTTGATTAAGCTGGCATGCTTTTATCGTCTAAATTATCCTGCTCCTTACCATAGCTCTAATTGTGGCCATGATTTAGGTGTGGAGATGATATTAAAGTTGGTGTTCGGGGTTAGTGAAATAAAATAAAGAAGGCTTGAAATATTTTGTTTGGAAAGAGAGTTCTGTCTAGACAATTTGGAGCAAAGGGGAAGACATTTGCACAAATCGGAACAATTTGGGGAGAGGGGGATGAAAATTCTGTGTACACAGTTTGGAGCAAAGGAGTAGACATTAATGTTTCATTAGTGACAGTGTTTTTATTATTTTCTATAATAATTTTTTAATATAAAATTGTTTTGAAAGTAGTAAAAAAAAAATAGTGACAAAAAATTGTCTCAAACGAAGCTTAAGTTATCATGACAAAATTTTAGTTATCAATAATGTATCTAAATTTTGTATAATCAGCATTATTTATGAAAATGCAAACCACAAGCGTAGGATGAGAAAGTCCCTTGTTCGTATTAACTTAGGCTTCGTTTGTTTTTTTTGTGCTTTTTTAAAAGACAGTTTTAAAAAATATTAGTTCAGAAAATGGAGTTTTCTAACGGAGAAGCACATATAAAAAGCTTTCTCTAAACTGCAGAAAAATGAAAAAAAAATGAGTTATTGAGAACGTGATTTGATGAACCAAACAACAAAAAAAAAAAATCATCCGTTTTCGAAAACGGAGAAGGCAAAAAAACGCTCAAACAAACAAAGCCTTAGGCTTCATTTAAAACAATTTTCTTACTGCTTTCTAAAGCTACTATTTCATAATGATTCATAGGTATGTCGATATTACACAAATTTGATATTGATAATCTAGCAAAGAATACTTATCATGATGTTCTACAACACACTGATCTTCTTATATAAATTTTTTAGACTCAGAATGCAACAACAACAACAATATCAAACTTTTTTTCCACTACATTGGGTCAGCTATCTGATTCTTTTTTCTCCATTTTTAGACTCAGAATGCAACTCACTTAAATATAAATAAGATAAATATGAATATTTTGGTAGTTTTTTATACAAATATGAAGAAATATATTGAAAAGCGTACTAAGAAACAAAATAAAATTATAGTCATTTAATTGGTCCATTAATACGTTAATATTTTGAGATCCACTAAACATATATGCATAATGTTCATGTATGTAATAAGAAAAATAATCAAATCTTTCATACATCATTATCATGATGATATTGTGTAATACATTTATAAGTAGTGCAAAATACATGTTATGGTGTTGCAAATTAGGGATTTATAATAAGACAATTATAAGATAAATCCCTTCAAATTTCTTACAATGAATGACCAATTAATTGTAAATTAGCTATGTATAATTGAAAGTTTTGGTAATATATGTAGGTTTTGAAAGATAAAAGGGGTTTTCACAAACACATAGATAAGAGAACAACCAGAATGATATGGTGAATCTTCTAATGAATTAATTATTATGTGCGGATGCCAAACGTTGTAGTAAGAACAACCAGAATGCTCAATGTCACTTATGTGCTCAATACTGCGTCTTGACACCGCTGACGTGATGCATTCTGGTTGATCTGTGAACGACATTTTATATCCGATCTCCGCACAGAATAATTTCTCCTCTGATGACCTATCTCAAGAATGTTATTTTTAGGTATTGCATCACAATGCATTATAAATAAATAAAACAAAATAAATGTCGGATACACAAAAAAAAATAATATTGTTGGTGTAAAGAAAGTTGAATTTGAGAAATATTGCTCAAAAAGAGAAATCATATTCGTTAAGCAACAATCCACAAGGCCACTTCAGGCTTCGGCTGTCCGCTTTCTGCAGTGCTTTCCACCTGCGCGGCGCCAATTCTTCGAACTCGCTCTCCCTCATCCTCTTTCGTCTTTCCACGCCAGTTCTTCCCCAAATGATACTCTCAGGAAAACCCTAATATTCTAACCGGTACTAACTTTCTCGCTTCTCTTTATGCCGGAAAGAAGAATCTCTTCCCCTCCCATTGTCAGAAGCGACTCCCCCATGTGCGGGAGTCGAGGCGACGCCCAAGCCTCCGAGCCCAGGCCGCGCTCCGCCACTCGCTCCACTAGATCTCGTTCTTCCGAAGCTGTCACGTCCGCCTCCAGCTCCTCCTTCACCCCGAGCATACCCACCATCACCGATAGCTCCAGCGCCGCCGCGGCCGCCACAACCTCCTCCTCCTCATCGCTGAGCATCTCCTCAATTGCCAGCCTCCGCGGCTCCCTCCCTGAAAAACCCATCCTATTCCCCTCCGCCGAGATCGCCGCCGCTACCAACAATTTTCTCGCCAAGCGCATCTCCCCTTCCTCCTCCTCCTCTTGGAGATGCTCCCTCCGTGGCCACGACACCGTCGTTATTCAGCGCTCCTTTCGAGGTGACCCCGCTGCTCTCCGCGCCCGCCTGGCTGCTGTCTGCAAGAGTAATCACCGCAGCATCGTCAGACTCCTCGGCGCTTCGCTCTCCGACGACCGCATCTTTCTAGTTTACGACTTTGTAGCCGGGGCTTCCCTCGCCGATTGCCTTCGCAACCAACGAAACCCTAACTTCACTCCTCTTTCCTCATGGATCTCCCGCATCCAGGTCGCCAGTGACCTTGCTCAAGGCCTCGAGTACATCCATGATCACTCTGCCGGTGGCGGAATAGTCCATAACCGCATCAAGAGCTCCGCGATCATCGTCACCGAGCTCCACTTTAATGCCTTGATTTGCCATTTCGGCGCTTCTTTTCTAGCCGGCGAAATACCTGAAGAGGCGTCCACTTCGCGTAGCAAGATGAATAGAGTGGATAGCCATTTGAAGAAGATCAATGGAACGAGGGGGTACCTGGCGCCGGAGGTAGTCGCTGGCGGTGGCGTGTCCCGGAGATCCGACGTGTTCGCATTGGGGGTTCTGCTCCTAGAGCTTATCTCCGGAGAGGTTCCGATCAAGTTAAAGTTCGATCCGGTAAGCAAGGAGTATCAGAGTACTTCGCTGATTCAGATGGCTAGAGATGTGTTCGGGGAAGCGGGATTGGAGGAAGAAGGGACGCAAGCAGCGGCGGAGTCGGATTTGGTGGAAGGGAGGAGGATGAGGATTCGCCAATGGGTGGATAGAAGACTGAAGGATTCTTTTCCGGTTGATGTGGTTGAGGATCTGATGGGGATTGCTTTGCGGTGCGTGGAGGTTGAGGCTGAGAAGAGGCCCAGTATGGCTTGGGTGCAGGGGAAGGTCTCTAGGCTCTTCCTCAAGTCCAAGGTTTGGGCTGAGAGGGTTAGGCCGCCGGCGGACTTCTCGGTCTCTCTGGCTCCGCGGTGACATCGCTCGCCGCGGCGGAGGTGATAAGCGATGTGACTGTTGGAAGCCGTCCCCTGAATTTATTTATTTGGATTTTTCATTTTATCTGTTACTTTTATTTTATATATATTTTTTGCACGTTGAGCGGATTTTCTAATCCTCGGACTCGTTTTATTTTCTTTACTTATGGTTTATTTATTCTATTTTTTTTTTATAATTATAAAAATTAAATAATTAATATATCAAATGTTTTTCTGTTAAGGAGCACTGATAAAAAATAATAATTTTAAATTCAAAAGAACTTATCCAAAATCACGATGCTATTGTTTATTTTTTATTCATTATTATTATAATAGCACAATAAATAATGCAATATAATATAAATATTACATAATATCTTTTTTTGAGAGTTATTGATTTGATTTAATTAGGTTGAAAATAAATATTTTTTTCCTGTTAATAGTCATTCCTGATGCTCACTTTGATAAAGCTTCTATTCACCATTGGTGATAATATAAATGAATATAAATGTGTGAGTGGGGCCGTTATTATTGGATTCAAATTTATCCTTATGAGATGTCCAATCTTGTCAGCAAGAAGACTCAAAAGGGTGGGGATCTAAGAGCTTGTAACGAAATGGAAAGAAAGCAGAATTAAAGTAGAAGTAGAGGATGATTTTCAGAGTTATTTTGGGTAAATGCTCCACTCTCCAGAAAGCTTGAAAGTTGTGTCAAAGGATTCAAAAAATGTATTTTCAAAATTTGTATATAGAGATCTGAAAGTCATTGGGAAGATCATATCAAAAGAAAGATAAAAAGTACAGTAGTAAATAAGGCCCAAGCACTTATCTCGATTATATAGGTGTTTGGTGAGATCATTGTTCTTCGGCTTAGCTCTTTGGCCTCAGGGTCAGTTCCATTTGCAAAGTCTTTGAGGTAGAGTTGGTGAAGGTGATTCCTCAGATGGGTCGAGCCTGAAGGATTGTTGTATGCAAGTTACTAGTGACCACCTTGATGAAGTTTTTGGATTATTTTAGTATAAAGGGCAAGTTTGTGTGAAGTGTAAGGACGGTGAACTTTAGGTTGGCTAAGTAGGAGGAAGCGGTTTTGCATCTTCCTCGGGGTGTAGCTAATTTGGTGAAGTATATACATTGATGGCTTAGCGATTAAGGTAATGACAAGTCGCAATGAAAGGGCATCAACTCGACCCAACACGCGGACTGAGGTGAAGGCTAGCGTGTGGCATGTGACGAGCGGTGAGGCCAGGCATGTCGTGTGAGCCAATGGCGAGGCAACGTTGGGCATGCAGCATGGGCGAGCAGCAAGGCCAGCGCGTGCATGAGGCAGGCCGCGGAGTAGTGACCTCTTAGGAAGTTACACTAATAGAACAAAACTATGAAGCATTTAGGCAAAAGCGGACAATATCGCAATAGTTAAGAGTTTGGTCTCTTAAATCTCCTCCCTTCTCCTCCGGTTCCTTTCTCGGCCAAGGCATGCGAGTGTGTGGGTGAGGGAAGCCCACTAGTTCAAACAACAATTCAAAAAAATTCATTTTTTTCCATTTAAAATACTTTTTGTATCTTTGAGTTGTTACAATCTTCCCATCTTTAAAAAATGTCGTGCTTGATATTTCAACTCGATATTTCCATATCAGTAAGTGAGAGAGAGAGAGAGAGAGAGAGAGAGAGAGAGCATACTCAAACAAAACTATCAAATCCAATCGATTAAAAATTCAATATTAAAAATCTATAATAAATCGAAAACTACGTCAAATCTCTTCAAAATGAGGCAATATAAAACATCACAAAATCATACTTGTCGTAGCCTCAAACACTTTAGGGATTGCTTTAACTGACTTCAAATTCCACTCTAAACATATCCATGTCCATGACTAGGCAATGTGCATTTTACTATTCGTTGCCCATATTCACTGCATCTAAAACATTGTCCCGTCACATTATAGTAGTGTCCAACATGTCTCCTTCCACACCAAATACACTGTAGAGTGGTAGGAACTTTAACATTTAACAATCCTTTTCTTACTAGTTTTCCCCATCTTTTTATAGCTCTATCCAGTCTACTTTGTTAGTCAAACGTTCACCATTAGAGCAATCATATTAGTAAACTTTTCTATACTCCTCGAGGTACCGAAAACACATCGGTGTCTAATTCGCTCGGATTGGGTTGATCTTGGTGTCGTTGGGTTGGTATTTCCGAGACGCTCAGTTTGACTGTAAGCTCGCTGAAATCGAAGTTCGGGTGCTCTCTGAATTAATTTTTGAGGTTTTCAACTAGCTTTTGCTTCGAGATTCGTGCCCGATCAAGCTAATTTTTGGAGTACGTATCACTAATCAATAAACAAGACTTAAATTAAAAACAAATCCTTCAAAACAAAATTACAAAATAAATGTTTCGAATTAAAATAAATTTATAAACTCATTCAATTAGTAACTAATGTGATCAATAAGCAGCTCTGGCCACAATCAAATTTTTTCGCTATCTATTGCTTTGACACTACTTTTATTATGCCCCAAGATCTAGAGTGAAAGAATTTATTTTCCTTTTTCTTTTTATATCTTTATTACATTGTTAATTTGTTCTATTCATTTCAACCAGATCAATTTCAACATCCATAGCCGATTACTTGCATTAAAGAATAAAATCAATAAACAAAGGAAAACATAATTCATAATTATATCGATTAGTATCTACATTTAATTATTAGAGTTCAAAATAATATAAACAATGGCCACACTGGCTCTAAAATAATCAAAAAGTAAAGAAACTGAAATAAACTATTCTAGCACCACTGTATGCATAACCTCAAGTTGTAGGCTTCTTATTTGAAATCATTTAAACCACATAACAAGCAAATAGCCGAGCAAATTATTAAAATCTTAAATCCGAAATCATTCTCTTTCTCTCTCCTCAAATCAGATATTTTGATTTTAAAAATATTTTCTCTCTCCTCAAAACGAGCTGATTTCTTTAAATCATTTGTCTGATCGGCCCGGCCGATCGCCAAATCGTCCCGGGACGATCAGACCAAAAATATCGTCCTGGACGGTTCCCAGAACTATCTTCAGGCCGATATTTTCTACAGTGCCGATCGGCCTGGACGATCTAAAATCGTCCTGGACGATCCTGAGAGAAAAATTCAAACCAGAGAGGAATAGTAAGGGAACGAGGTCTCACAGGTCACCTATATCAATTAATCAATCATTTTTTTATCCTTCAATCCGTCTTGCCACTTAATCAGATATGCAATTAACAATAGTGTCAGTGTCCGTAGTTAGTAACAATAATAGTAACAGTAATCAATGTCCATACAATATTAGCATACTAGTTAGTATCATCTAGTAATTAGTCTCAGTTAGCAGCATTCAATAGTTAGAATCAATAATAATTCATATTAGTAATCAATAATAAATAAGAGTAGTCTATCATATATACATGTAAGAGTATATTAAGAGTATTTTGCTTCTGCACGTATGACTCTCAATCAATCGTATTCAATTAATCTCAATTGTTAATTGTATCAGTGTTTATTATTATCTATAATATATCAATATTGGTAGTACTCTTATCATGCATCAGATATCATAGTACTATATGTACTCTTATCATTGAGGTATCAATACAATCATCTATACTCTTATTATTAATTAGATATCAATCAGTATATTAGTATCATTTCGGTACATCGTTTCCATGCATATTAATCATTTCAATTATTTCATCACATCTTATGTTTTAGTATTATCATGTCAATCACAGTACATCATTCAGATCGTTTTCAGTATGTCATTTTCCTACTCATTTTACAAAAAATTCTTTAATTTGGCCTAATACCATCGCCATATGCAAAAATTAGATTAGTAACACCAGTGCCATGACAGTGGTTTTTGGAGTTGCAGTGCTTTCAATCCTAGCATTGTAATGCTCACATGTACAATGTTGAAGTGCTCTAGTTCAATCAACAATTTAAAATTTTATATTTTTCATTTAAAATGCTTTTTATATCTTTGTGTTGTTACAAACTAAAGAGAGGGGCCCACTAGAACTTACTGCTAGAGCCGAGGAGGGGTGAGTTCAAGGAGAGTGGTGCTTTCTTCGAGTTATGAGGACATCCCTTGACAATGAGGATGGCAAGGTGAATTCCCATTGAGCGCTTAGTGGAGGAAGCAACTACTAAAGAGGTGGCCTCCACTGAGGTCGCATTGTCTTCAATTGAGGCTGAATTCACCCCCGCCCACTCTAGGAAAGGTAAGAACAATTACTTGCTATCCTTGAAATGAATCCCATCATGTGGTGAATGTCTCCTTCTAACAATGAGCCCAAAGTGTGCCTATCCACAAGCGAGTTGCTTGGTCACCCATTGACTATGTTCGAGGCATTGGCATTGACATAATAAGTGCCTAACATATACTCAAAGATGACCATCCTCTATGATAGACTGCTAGAAGTACCACGGTTGCTCGATTATGATCCTCTAGCCATCGTCGCCAGAGCCATGATCTCTCGACCACTTCACTTAACTACAATCCTTCAATAATCATCGCCCATGTATGATCCTTAGACCATTGTCATCTGAGTATGATTATTTGACATTCATCACCTAACTTTAATCTCTCAACCACCTTCACCCTGCCTTATTACAATTCTCTAACCATCTTTGCCCCACTACAATACTCTAACCTTTTTCAATTGATTATAGTCCTCCAATCATCATTGTCTTACTATGATCCTCTTACTTATGTTGCCTAACAATGATCCTCCAATTTCCCTCATCCAATTATAGTCCTTCAAATACTATCACCTGACTATGATTCTCTGACCATTGTCATTTATTTCAGTCATCTAAACAACATTGCCTAACTTGGTCCTTCGACCACTATACCATAACTATAGTCTTCCAATTATCATCACCCAACTATAATCCTTTGACCAAGATCATATGACTACAATTTTTCAAGAATCGTCTCCTAATTATGGCTTTCTAGCTATAGTAGTTACGGTCCTCAGAGCACTTTCACTCGAATATGGTCCTTCAACCTTCATTGTCTGACTGTGGTCATCTACTTTCGATCAATTAACTACGATCCTCCAATCACCCTTGCCTATCTATAATCATCTAGTCATCTTTGCCTAA